GATTTCCAGTGTGGTCCGCTTTAACTAGCAATAGGCGCGGTTCCCCAATGGAAGAAGGTAGCACCCACGCACAGGTGATGGATGTTGATACATACGTCAACTTGCCTGAAGGTGAGTGTACTTGTCATGGGTGAGGAGAGATTTGTCGTGGCCAAGACAACCAAGAGGGCGTCACGAGGTCCATTTCAAGTGGGACGAGGTGTTTTGCTTGGGACAAACGCACGTGCTGCCCTCCACCAGTACCGACAGCACCTGCTTGCGTGTAGCTTCAGGCCACATCCAACATCCCCTCCAATCACTCCCCTTCACTCCTCTCCAGATTGCCTTCTCCTCACAGTCCCCCTCTTCCCCTTCAAGGTATGCATTTTCACTCGGAGTTGGAAGTGAGTGAAAGTGAAGGTGAAGGTGGTGGTGGTAGTGGTGGTGGTGGACTGGTGGAAGGACTGCACCACAGTCAACGCATTTGACTAGGCTTTCAAATCGCCCATGTGTGTGTGTGTGTGTGTGCGCTCCCGACGTCCTGAAATGCCAAATGTCACTCGCTCCTCCCACCAATCGCATTGAGGCAGAACACAAACACCGAACCCGACTACTAATCCACCGAGGACTTTGTGCTGCTGACAGAGCACGCAACTCAGTGTGTGCGGGTGAGGTCACTCCGACGACGCATGTGACACTGCCGACGATGATGACCCACTAAATTGGAGGCAAGTTTGCCAAAATCGGTGTGCAGAGAGGTGGGGATGGAGGCGACTGCCAGTGACGCTTACCACCATCGTCCTCCAGGCTGATCCTTCCTCCACCATCCTCGATCATGAATCCTTCGGGTGAATAGGGATGGACAATCCCATACCATCCTACCTCACCCCACCGCACTCCATCCACATGGTGGAGCAGTGCGCTATTACGATGCGATGAGTGTGTCCCTCCGCTCTCACAGTGCAATACCACCACACTTGACCGCACTGTGACCTCAAGAGGTGCTGACTTAGCTTTGGATGAGGACTACGCTCACCCACCCACTCACCCACCCATTCACCCACCAACACACACACACACACACATTGCAGTTGTGGCTGAAGTTGAAATGAGGTGAGATGGTGGGGTGGAGTGATGAGGTGACCACTTCATTACACACATTCTCCGTTGGACGTGGACTATACGACACGATATGCAACAACTTGAATGCGTCAACAACAACAACAACAATAACAACAACAACAACTGCACAATGCACTCCATGACGGTGTGTGCACAAATGGAGATGCACAAGTCCTGTCGGTGGAAAGGACTGCGATGCTACCTTGATGCACCTCGTCTCGTCATTCCCCATGCAGCAGTGTGTGCCTCCTGTCACTCCCATGCCCAGTCGTCAATCCCCCTCCCCCACCCCCCTACCCACACACACACACCCGCAACACGAATGATCGCACAAATGTCGGTGCACCGTCTCCTACCTCCATGCATGAATGCGTCATTTGATGTGGAAGTAAGTGCGATGCGTGAAGTCTGCCATCCATTCCAACACCAACCACCGCCAGTGGTAGGCATGCGGGGCAAGTGGAGCACCATGAAGCGAGCACTGCAAGTCGAGTGTCCCCTCACTCGAGTCTCAATTACCCACTTACTCCACATAGTCGTGTTGGTAATGGTGGTTTAGGGTCATTCAATGACGTTGGATGATGCGACGTCAATTGCGCGCTTTTGTGTTGGAATTGGAGGGAGGTGGCATTGGCAGCCTCCCTCCACACACTACCACCACTGATAGCAAAATATGTTAATAGATTTAGGGATGGGGTGGATGCTTGGCACTAATCTAATCACTGCCAATGCGTTTGGCGCTGCCAAAGTGGATGAAGTGCAATTTTGCTCGAAATGTGACTCCGTATTCTCTAGCCTGCATCCGCCGTGGGAGGGGATGCCACCGCCTCGAATGATGGGAGAATGGAGGCCTAAAATCCTTCTCCTGTGGCACAAGCATTAGGTCATTTCATTCTGCTACGATCGTATAGTGCATATTGTCCATTACTCTGAACTGGGAATTCTGGTCAAAGTCTATTTTAAAGGTATCTGTACATCTGAGATGCTCATTTGTTTGTGAGTAGTGTGTGGTGGGTCAAGGATTAAGCAGACTTCAGGGACGAAATCACCATTGCTGGATTACGAGCACGCCATATTTTTATTCCGCAACCATCGTATAGTTCGGTATTGCATTTTTCTGGTCTTCAAATACTGTTAAGAATCTGTATTAAGTAACATTTTCTTCTGAAACACTTATTTGTTTATAAGTAGTATGTGAAAAGTAAATAATAATTTGTCCTCAAAGGCTAAATCACAATTACGGGATGACAGGTGCAGCCCATTTTTCAGCCATTTAATAACATTGCAAGAGGAAAAATTATTTTAGCAGGTATTGTGGAGCAGTGGATAAATCACGACCCCTTCCCAAATGAGAAAGATGCGACAATTACTATCTGTTGTCGTCCCCATGACAGTAGGATAATGGCGAGGCGACATCAAAGAGAATGTAGTATTTTACAACTGCATGCTGCTTTATACTCCAGGTTATCTGCAAAAATAATTTGTCTTTCCGCACATGTTATTAACTGGCCGTAAAAAATAGGCCGTGCTCGTAATCCAGGAATGGTGATTTCATCCCTGAAGTCTGCTTAACCCTTG